CAACAATTCCTCTTTCTGGAAAAACGGAATGAGAAACACGCAGGCCTAAGAGCGGAATATCGTGGCATGTTGGCTGTGTTCACACGAGACACAACCAAGCAGCTCCTGGCGCCTGCTTGGTTATTGTTAGGGGGTTTGCCATAGTGACAAATATACCTGTAGCTTGGGTGGAGGATGAGGTTGTGGGTTGGTTTCCGAATGTTTCATTGCCAAGCTAGGTAACAACTTCAGCGGAGTTCAGATTAGGAGTTGAGGAGTTTCAACTCCGCTGAAGATCTTAACCTGGTAATGGAACCAGCCAGAAGCTTGGAGGAGGAATCTCCACTCTCATTGTTAGGGACGTCTAATCAGGGGTCCTTGGTGCTTTCTGAGCTGGTGCTCAGAAGTCCACAAGTCTTAAAGTGGCCAAGGTTGGAGACCCCTGATTTAAACTGTTTAGGGGGGGTGGGGGGGATGCAAGGGGAAAGTCTCCTTTTCGGAAGGCTTGGCTCGATCCCAGTGGATTCTTCTAAAAGGGGCCAGCAGGTGCCACACGTTTTCTACCTCTTATGACCAACATTTATTTCTCGATCCATCTATTTACGATTGAATCGATACGCCGCAAAGGAACCAGACAATCCTTCTGGGTGCGGCTTTGCCAAGGAGCGGCTGCTTCTTCGAGACCTTGGGATAGTGGCCAAAGCTAATGGAGGTCAGAGTCCAGGGGTTGGAGGATGGAGAAGCTTCACGCCGCCTTGCTGGATGAGGCGATGTAAAGTTACACCGGAAAGATAGTTAAGCTGCCTTCAGTCGCGGTTTTTTTTAGGGAAGGTAAACATGCCAGGCGACGTTTGTCAACACCTCACATGCCTGCCCTTTGGATAGAAAAGGATTTGCATGTCATAATTAACAACAAAGGACTTAACCCCACCTGCACACAGTTGCACCTTGTGTGACATGTTTTGACAGCTCGTCCTTAAACTGGTTGGTTGGCTCTTGGGGAAAATCTGAGCCATGCGCTCCCTCCAGGTGTGAGTTTAGATTGCCTTCACTTTTGCAGAAGAGCTAAAGGAGCTTTAGCTGAACGTGAGGATTAGTATTTGGGTTTTTAATGGGTTGTTTTTTTAAATGGGAAGGCGGCGGAAGCCATCCAAGACCCTGGGCTGGATCAAAGAGGGAAACTTGGCCAGCAGCACAAATTCCTCCTAATTTGGGGTTAAGTATATACTATAACTTTTTTTTTTTTTTTTTGCAAAATGAATTGTGGTTTGATAACTCGTGTGCCTCAACCACTTTCAAATGAGTGGACTTCAACTCCCAGAATTCCCCAGCCAGCTGGCTGGGGAATTCTGGGAATTGAAGTCCACAGATTTTGAAAGTGGCTGCAGTTGAGAAACACACAATATTTTGGAGAAATTTGTTTTTTAATCTGCTAGCACTTACTTGCCTGGGGGCTAAAGTGTCAATTGCCCCTCTTTTTTCCTTTTCCCAGGCTGAGTAAACATTTTCCCAGGCTGAGTAAACATTTTTGAAAACAATCCCTCCTTTTTTCCTGACATCTGCCCTGTCTTTCTCAAAGGCTAATTATTGTTCCAAAGTAGAACATGGAACAAACACAATGGTTAAGGCAGCATCTTAATTGCAGTTTTACCCCAGTGTTTTTAAACTGGCCCCTTTAAGACGGTGGGCTTCAACGCCCAGAAATCCCCAACCCATGGCTGGCTGGGGAATTCTGGGTGCTGAAGTCCATGTGGCCCAGGTTGGACACCCCTGGTCTAGACCCCATTGAAGTTAGCATCTCCTTGTGCAGGAGGCCTCCCTTTCTCCACCTCTCTTTTGTAGACCCCTCTCGCAGGCTTCCATTTGGTGCCCTATTGTTCTGTTTTAAAATAAAATTTAAGATTTTTGCATAAATCGAACCTGTTTTGCAAGAAGGGAAGCTTATTATCATTGCAATAGACTTGCCAGTGTTCAACTAGCCAGGATAATGTTCACTGGTTAGTTCACTGGTTTTTTCACCGTTTTTGTTTTTTCTCCATTTTTTTTTCTCCCTTTTGGATTTTAATCTTTTGAAATAAAATAAAATGGTTGAAGTGGGGAAAAAAAAGTAAAGTTGCATAAAGTTTATATCCCTGCCCTTTGATATATGGCCGGCCGTTGATGCCACCTGCCAGTATCTAGTTCAGTTTTCCTTTGGTGCAAAGACTTGTGTGACTCCTATAACTTTTTAAAGTCATCAGGATTAGCTTAAAGCAGCCCCTGTAGGCTTGTCTTCCTCCAGTGGGTTGGCTCCCTTTAAATGACATCCTTTGGAAACCCTCCCTGCCTCTTTCAGCTTGACCGGCAGGCGGAAAAATGGAAGCCGACACAGACTGGCCTTAAGATGGGTTTACCTGCTTGTTTCGGACGCTACTGTACAATCCAGCCATTTTCGAGCTGTGCAAAGACCTGGCTGCTTCCCCTTCAGTCAGAATAGAGCTGGAAGGGACCTGGGAGGTCTTCTAGCCCAACCCCTTCCTCAAGCAGATCCTGCTTCAGACAAGGGGGATGTTCCTCCAGTGATGTCGCACCCACAAGACAAGGTCTCCTTCCACGGATTAAATATTCTTCATTGTCAGGAAGTTCCAGGATTAGTTTCCATCCGTTGCTTCTCTCCTGTCCTGCCTTGTGGGGCTTTGGAGAATAATTTGACCCCCTCTTCTTTGGGTCAGCCCCTCAAATGCTGGAATAATGCTATCATGTCCCCCGTCCCCCGGTCCTTCTTTTCTCTAGATTGGCCAACCCCAAATCCTGCAATCGTTCTTCATATGTTTTTGTCTCTGGGCCTTTAATCATCTTAGTTGCTCTTTGTTGAACTTTTTCCAAAGCCTCGACATCTTTTTTGTAATGGGACCAAAACTGGACGCAGTATTCCAGGTGGGGCCTTACTAAGGCTTTACAAAGCGGTACTAATACTTAATACCTCCCTGTGTCTCCCCCCCTCCCTTCCCTATACCTTGGAGTTGTGAACATCTGTAACTGCTTAAAAATCTTGGTTGTCCAATAGCAAGAATTGGCTGCAAAATGCAGCCGTTAATGAAAAAAACGTGTCTTTAAATCTTGTGGGTGTTTCCAAACAGTTCTCTGTGTCTGTGTCTGTGTGTGTGTGTACATTCTTCTGTAGCACTAGCGAGTCTGCGTCCCCCTCCCTCTTCTTGGCCTCTGATTGCAGAGCTCACCGCGTTGCGTAGAAATTGTGTAAAGTTGGGGCATCCCTCACAGCTGTGGTGTGATGTGACTTTATGGCTCGAAAAGAAATCCAGGGGGGTGAGAGAGGCCCAGTGTTGACAAAAGCTTTCATGCAAAAATAAGAGCCGCAATGGTTTGGCTTGAGGTTTCTAACGCTTCCTCGACATACGACCACAATAGAGCCCAGGTCCTCTGTTGGCTAGGCGGGAGAATTATCAAATGTGTTTTTGTCCCATTTTACGACCTTTCATTATCTCTGGTGTTAAGTGAATCACTGCAGTTGGTAAGTTAGTCACACGGTTGTTACGTGAATCTGGTTTCCCCACTGACTTCGCTTGGCGGAAGGTCGCAAAAGGGGATCGACGATAAAACAGCCGTGGTGGCGCAGTGGTCAGAGTGCAGTACTGCAGGCTCCTTCTGCCAACTGCTGACTGCCTGCAATTTGGCAGTTCGAATCTCACCAGGCTCAAAGGTTGACTCAACCTTCCGTCCTTCCGAGGTGGGTACAATGAGGACCCAGACTGTTGGGGGGCAAGAGGCTGGCTCTGTAAACCGCTTAGAGAGGGGCTGTAAAACATTGTGAGGCCGTATCCAAGTCTAAATGCTGTTGCTGGCAAACTCTGCCCATTGCCAGCAGTTCAATCCTGACCAATGCCAGGTTGACTCAGCCTTCCATCCTTCCGAGGTGGGTCCAGTGAGGACCCAGATTGTTGGGGGTAATGTGCTGACTCTGTAAACCGCTTAGAGGGGGCTGGGAAGCACTGTGAAGCGGTATAGAAGTCTAAGGGCTATTGCTATCGCACGGCACTGCGGCCGTCATAAATATGAACCATCTACTTTTTGACCACGTGACCATCAGGGTGCTGCAATGGTCATAAGCACGAAAATGGTCATAAGTAACTTTTTAAAAACTGATTGAACTTCAAATGGCCACTAAACGGCTGATTGCCTGTATAGTTTTGAGTCATTGGAAGTGGGTGTAGCTGGGTCAGAGGCCTGAAGGCAGCAGCCTCAGTTGTGTGTGTGTGTGTGTGTGTGTGTGTGTGGTGACTTATGCTAAATTGCTGTGGAGAACCCACCAGAAATAACCCCCCCACCAGGGCATCATCATCATCATGGAAGGGGCTGCTATGCCAGCAACCCTGGTGGGCTTGTTTTGAGTGTCAGCTGCTTAATTGGATTTATGTTAGCCCAGAATTCCATATGCAGATAGTCCTTGACTCCCATTGGGGTTTTTTTTCTTCCTATAATAGATTTTTATTAGTTTATCAAAGTATAAAATACAGAGAGCAGTTTTAAAAAGTAATAGAAAACTGGAGGGAAGGAAAAAAGAAAAAAAAGAGAGAAAATATAGAGGAAAGAGGAAAGAAAAAGGCACAGGCTTCCAACTCTCTTGAGCACAGTAGAAGATAAACAACATTACAACCTCAACTTTTTACTTTTACACAACTTTGTGTGTGTGTGTACATATACATACACATACACACATACATACTAGCCCTTTCCATAGCAACAAACCTATGTAATCAGCAAAAACAAAGTTTCATATATATATTTATATATATTTATTATATTATATTATATTATTATATTTTCCATTGCAAGCACAAAATCGGAAGCAATTTCCAAATTGGAAGCAATTTCCAAATAGAATTCTTTTCTTTGGATTTAAAAAAAAAAGGGGGGGTCCATTTAACCAATTCTGCTTCTCCTCCTTTTCTAAGTGGGGTGTGTAAGCTTCTGTTATCCCAACTTAACGGCTAATGGTGGCCTTCATTCTTTTCCTTCCACAGGTTTGAATGTGACCTGTAGAAGACGGCGAAGATGTCGCTTCACAACACCAGAGCCTCGGTGCTCCTGGCCTGGGTAAAAACCGAGAACCCTTTGCAGAGTGGCTTTGGAGCAGGGTTGGGCAGCTCATGGCAACTTTACATGCTTTTGTGGACTTCAACTCCCAGAATTCCTGAGCCAGCCAGAATGGCTGGCTCAGGAATTCTGGGAGTTGAAGTCCCCCCCCATCTCAAAGTGGCTGCCTGTGAGATGTGATGGAGACGCAGGAATGCTTTTACGTCTGCCCAAATTGGCAGCTCTTCACGTTTATAGTTTTGGGGTTTTATTGGGTTATATTTGGTGTGGGGAAATAGGATGTGGATCATCAGATATGGCAGCCATGTACTAGGAATAGAAACAACAGCGTTCTTTTGCTAAACTGGGAGGGTTAAAAAAATATATCTTAATGTTTGAAAGCATGGAAACAGTTGGGATGGGGGGAAACCCTAATGTTCTTTCTGGGCACGGGCCAGCGTGTATTATTCTCCAAAGAGGAGCCCCCTTCTCCAGCCTAGTTTTTCCACCCGGCTGCCTCATTGACCAGCGTTGCCTAGCGGAATGACCACACGGGAACGCTGGCGTGTGGCTGGCCCGGCAGCCTGCTGACGTGGCTCTCCTCCTCCGCAGGTGAACAGCCTGAAGCTGGGGGAGGCCGTCACTTCGTTGTCTGAGCTCCAGGATTGCAGCCTTTTCCTCAAGATCATCGGCAAAATGTAAGACGGATGTCAGCGTCTTTAGGCTCTGGCACCAAGGCTCCCCAACCTCTGGACCACTGCAACCAGGCCACAGAAGTGGTGGGCAAGCGTGTGTGCACGTGTGTGAAGCTGAATTTGTGAAAGTGGTACCCGTGCATGGAACCACTCTCCCCCGGCCTCGCGCAAGTCTGCAAAGCCGAAAGGTTTGGGGAACTCTTGCCTTAGGTCCTATCCGTTTAGGATGCTGCTGACCCTCATCCAGCTGTTCCTGAGCTGGGCAAAAGACCTGGCTGCTTCTCCATCCCCACATCCAAATGTGATAAATAAATAAAATAGAAGCCAGCCATTCAGGGGGGAAAAAAATCAGCAGGCATCAAGGTTGCAAGTGGTCCAGACAGAGCAGCGTTTCTCAACTTTGGCAGCTTTCAAGATGTGTGGACTTCCAACTCTCGGAATGCCCCAGGCACAAATTGGGGGAGTTGAAGTCTACACAAGTTAAAGTTGTCCCTTCTGGTCTCTTCCAACTCTTATCATTCATGGCTGGCTGGGGAATTCTTGGAGTTGAGGTCCACATGTCTTA